AGCTGTCTTGTGCTGACTGTGGGCTAAATCCATGCAGGTGAGCAGCAGAGTTGATAAACCAGGGCATGGAATTACATTGCACTAACTGGGTACCCTTAAAGATGGATCAGGTATGAACATTTGTGTCCCTCTTGCAGTCCTGACCTATGGTCTGTCTGTAAGGCTGCCCTGCGCTGATGCTTTGCCATGTCAGACTTGAATGTTTCAAGCAATAGAGCTCTGACTGCTGTGATAGATTCTCTCCTTCCTGATGGGTGCTGGTGTTCAGATGTTTTCCCTTTCAAGGGAAAAGATAATTTCTGTCCCTGCTTTGCTAGAGGTGTGTCAGTACTGGCACTGGCATGGCTCAGCCTGTATTGTTTGGTGGGGTAAAGGAAGGGGGAGAGGAGATATAACTGGGTAATTGGGTTCGGGGGTGATTATGCCACTGTAGTAGGTTTTATTGGATGAAGCAGCTTTTTGCGATAGGTGTTTCAGTTGTCTGCAGGTGTGACTTGGCTAGATAAGGATGGTCTGTCACGTTGATGATTTCGTTGTTTGATTTGGCTGAACTGGGTGGAGAACGTAGCTGCATTGTTTGGGACTAGCTTTGTAGTTTGATTTTGTTGAAGCAGATTACATGGCAGTGGGTTGCTACATTATTAAGGTAAAGCTGCAGTAGATAATAGCTGGAGAATGTTGGAGGAAAGAGAATAAATAGCACAGGGTTTCACAACACGTAGCTAATTGAGCCTCGCAACAGCTCCTGTGTTCCTGTTGGGAGATCTGGTCAGTGGAACGCGTCTGGATTGCAGAGAGCACCTCTGGTAGTGAGCTCCCTTTGCAGTGGCGCTGGAACCTCAGGGCCGCCCGTGCCGTGCGGAGAGAGCGTGCTCCCAGAGATCACACCGGCCCCAACAGCGTGAATGTTGTCTGCATTCATACTGTTCTGCAGCCTCTCCAGGCTTCCCAGTGGGTGAGGGAGAAGCTGGCACGGAGCTGCTCTGCCTTGCTTCGCTGACTTCAAATTTGCCACTAAGCCATTCCTCTGAGTCTCTGTTTCCTTGTTACTGAACTTCCAGACACTTAAACTTGCTTTAACATGTGAGTTAATTGATGCAGGGTTGTCTCCATCACTGAAAGTGTGGCTGATCAGTTCTTGGGCCGTGAATTCTTCTCACGTTATAGGAAATAACCGTAGTGCAAGGCGGCGGTAACCCCTCTATCTTGAGCAGACTTGCTGCATGTCTTGCTTGGGAGAGTTGGCACTTGGATTCCCTCCTCCCTGTAGTGTAGCACAATTAGGTGAAGTAGAAGCTGCTGGAACAGTAGATGGTGATTCTTCCTTCTAAAACCTGCCTGGTTTTCCCCTAGATGCAATTGTCTGGCTTTATCTGGTGCTTGATGTTTTTATTTGTACATTGTCTGGTTGTGGAGGAGGTTGTATATATGAAGCACAGAATTTGGCAGAAGTTGCCGGGCACATAGTGAGGGGAAGGTGAGCCTTTGAAGAGAGATGGGTGCAGAGAAGGGGAGGTTACATGTCTGAGCTTTGTGCCAGCTTCTCTAAGCACAGATGAGCTCATGGGAATCCGGCTAGCTCAGATGTGGGAGTGCTAAAGCAGGTCTGACCTATTTCCCCTCCATGTGCAGCACGCATCTTCAGACTCTCCCAGTCTGGTGGTGGCTTTTTCGGTGCTGGAAAATCTTGCCAGTTTGATCAGAGACTTCTCCCTGTCACTGGTTCAGAGCGAGTTTTGATTCCTCTGCTGTGGTGCTGGATGCGTGGGAGGGACGCACAGCTTGGCTGTGCTTTCTTGTTGGTGAAACTCTTCCTCTCTTTCTTTCCCCAGGTGATCTTTTCTTGTGAGACGAGCAGTTTGCAACTCATGGCTTCCACAATGAGTACTGCTGTGTCGTGACACCAGGGGTCTTGGTAAGCTACCTGTTGAAAAGGACTTAGCTTCACAAATACATGGCCATCTCTTCTGTCTTTGCAGTTGAGGTTTGAAGTCATTTTAAGCAGGAACCAAATGGGGTGAGGTGCTTTTCAGCTGTTCTCACCTCCTCCTTTGAGCTTGCAGTGGCACCTGTGTGGTTACATGACCAACCAGATCAGGGGACTAATCCAGCTGAATAGAGATTTCTGCTGTTTCCTTGGGTTAGTTCCCATTCAGATGTGGTCAGGAGAGGTGGTGAGAATGAGTAGCCAGTTGAACCATCCCTTCTCCCTGGAGCCATGGCATACCTTAAAGCAATCCTGAAAATACAGCTTGGATGTAGCTTGCCAAAATCTCTTGACAAGTGGCTTGTCTATTCATTGTCAGTGACCCTACCTCTAATTCTAGAGCAACGAATAAGGGCTTTGCTATGGCAGGCAGACTTCAGCTGCAAAAATACATTTCTCTAGAGCTTTTCCATTATTGAACCCTAGATTCCCAGACATACATATGTTAGAAGTGTGTTTGGAAAAATCATGAGGCATTCCACTTCACACTATAAAAGATGGTACGTTCCCAGTGTGCAGAAATGAGAAGCCAAAGAGGTTGAGCTGCTGTTGTTCCACCAATGAATATATTGATGTATCTTTTATAGCTCTCTCTGGTAAGAAGAAATTTAAACTTAGATTGGAAAATACAGTTCCCTTGCAGAGCGTATAATTTCTAATACATGGAAGATACATTTATATAGAATAATAAAAAAGTAGAGTTAAAAAATTGGAGGTTTTTTTTTCCCTCCTGTGAAGTACTTGTAAGTTTGGTGATGTCAGAAATATTGTGCAGCTGCTGTGACCCTGATTCTGTTCTTCATGTTTTCTCATTGAGCTGTGCAAGACTGGGAGTCTGAGAAAATTATCATTTTATAATAAAAGGTGACATGATAATACATAAATATCAAAAGTGGAAGAGCAGAGGATGAACGAAGTAGAATACCTAAATTCATTAGACAAGAATCTGCATCCCACTTTAGGCATTGAGCTCTTCTCACTTTAATGCTATTATTACTTTTTTTTCTTTCTACCTGAAATTCAAGGTGTTTTCAGTCATACCTTCACCTTAAGTGAGGACCTGTTTGTATCTCTCTTGAAAAGTGGAGTTGGGTGCTGTTGATAATGTTGCAGTTTTGTTGTCAAAGCAGACTTAGGAGCCAAATTTACATGCAAAGATGGTACAATTTAGATAGGAGTGAAGATGTTCTCTCTTGTCCTTAGTTATCTGTATGGCAGCAGATCCAATTACAGCATGAGAGCAGTGACAATAGTAATAGATTAACTCCAACATTGTTCTCAAAATCAGTGTGATAACCAGCTGATAGCCCCAGAGGAGCATGTGGATCCTCTGGAGTGTCTGGCTCAGACTGGAGTTCATCTGGTTGTGCCTAATAGGAAGCATTAAAAATGAGACCTTTATTGCAGGAACATTCTTCCATATTAATGGGTTTGCGCAGCACAGTGGGGGTGAAAATAGAGAACAGGATGATTTCTCTGGGTTGTGAAGGAGGTATGTGGTAGAGGGCAGAATTTTTTGAGATGATGGGGAGCTTCATGGAACAACTGCAGTGTAGAGTACTATCATGTTATACAGCAGTGCATAGTCACTATAAAATGTAATGGCACAACTTCACAAGATAAGCTTGAACTAGAAAACCATGGTGCTCAATACTACAAGTTGCTGACAATTCTCCTTGGCCCAAGGTGGTCATACAGTGCTTATGCTTCTTAATCCTCTGATATCAGCACATAAGCAAGCCAATTTTTGTTTTCTAGATGCAATTTGATCAGTATTTTCTTCATAAAATTCAAGACCTTTCCAGTCTGGTGATATTTATTTTGTTTCATTTGATACACACAGGAAGAAACTGCTTCTTTGGTGGTGAGAAGGAATACTGGGAATATTTACATTTGAATAATATTTAACTAGCAATGCTTAATACATTAACAATAAATCTTGGTTAGATTCTAAATTAAGTGGATTTGCATCTGAGTAGGTGAGATGAACAGGAGAGATTTTTGTTGAAACATAAACAACACAGAAATTTGTTCCAAAATAATTTACCCCAGAGGAGGTAAACAGTAACGTTCAATAGTTTCCTCCTCCAGGAACAGCTTATGTGCCTTACTGGCTGCGTCATGCATATTGTTTCTTAGAAAGAAGCTGAAAACATGCTTTTTTTTTTTTCTTCTGTTTTTGTGCGATTTTTTTTAAGTTTCAATAGTTTGTATAGTGTTGCTGAGGAAATTTGGAGGGGTAGTTCTCTAGCAATCTTTTGTCCTTTCTAATGGATATAACGAGTGACTAACCTCAGGTATTTTCAGAGTAATCACAGCATAGCTGTTTGCTTACAGGTAGTCAGGAAGGCATTTTATTTTGTTTTCTTTGTGCAACCCTTAGCACACATCATTGAATGTACATCTAGTTATAGCAGACCAAGGAGACAGAAAAGATTTGAGCAGAGTTTATGTTCTTAAGAAATATCAGATTACGGTCACTCACAGGGGAATTCTGGATAGCTAAGTCATGTTGGGGATTTGTAATTTTGGTTTTTGACTGACTTGCTGTGAGGTGTCTTCAACCTGAGCACAGATGCAGAATCAAAGTGTCTAGATACAAGGCACTTCCCTGTTTTGTTGACTCAAGTGATTTGCTTTGGATGAAGGGACGATGGCCTTGCTGCCTGTACACTGACTGAATGGCCAGCCAAGGCAGCCGTGGGTTTGAAACACAGCTGTTCTGAGCCATCTGAAAGCTTTTCTCCTGTGTCTTCTCAGTAATGGGGGAAGGATGGCCATTTACTGCTTCACACTGCACATCTGCTTGGAAAGTGACTGGTTTTCTGCTCTTTCTTTATGGGGTGGTTTGAACAGCGTGCCCTGGAGATGCGAGACTTCCCCTGGGCAGCAGGAGGCACGCGTCTAGAGAATGCTGGAGCTGCAGGAGGGAAGCACCCAGTGCAAAACCAGAGAGGAGCAAAGAGAAAAAAGGCAAGCAGAGAGCCGGCATTGAGAGAAGCGGGTGGCAGAAAGCGCCTTGACGCTGCCTCTGGCAGCACGCTCCCCAGAGGGACTTGACGAGAGCCCATCTGCCTGTGTGTGAGACTGTGAGCTCAGGATTTCTGTCAATGCATTCCAGTAACCCCAAAGTGAGGAACTCCCCGTCAGGCAACACACAGAGGTAAGAAGAGCCTGCAGTCAGCTGCTCTGGATTGGTGCACGATTCTGTCCCTGCTCTGCTGCAGGATTAGCTGAGGACTGGTGCATGTGACTTACTGGTCCTCCTTTGTGGTCCCGTTGGACCCACCGAGGACCTGAGCCCTGGGTGCACAGTGCTGATGAGTGCCCACGTTTGCTAGGCTCAGGATGAACTGAAAGCTGTAGACCCATGAGATGTGGATTTTCCATTCCCCATGCCCTCCTCCCTCCCACTGGGTGTCTGAACAGGCTATAGGAGGATAAACATGCAGTTTCTATCTGTGGGTGTGCTTTTTTTTTTTTTTTCCCCTCCTTTCTTTCTTTCTTTCCCTTCTAATTATCTGTTTCTCTAAGGGATAGTTGGGCAGCAGAAGATCTTGCTGTCTGTACTTTCACACAAAACACTTCCTCCATGTTATTGGCCTGGTCAGATGTGCCCTGGGATCCTCTGCATCGTTCACCTGCCAGTGCAGCAGGTCAGCATCTCTCCTCCACTGATTTGGAAGGGGAAAAATACAGAAGCGAAGCACTGTCCAGGGACTTACAGTGGTCCGATTGGCAGCATTCTTGAGTTTGATTATTTACTCCTAGAGGTCACCTGGAGCTTAAGAGTAATTCAGAGGGAATGCCTCCGAGTCAGACGTCTGTCCAAAGGAGGAAATGGCTTGTGTGAGTTCCAGTGAGGATGCTAGCAAGTGAGGTCTGTCGAAAGTGGCAGTAATGATGGGAAATCAACGCAGGAGATCTGATGGCAAGGGAGTAAGTAGAGGGTGAGGAAGGAAGGGGTGGCTAATAGATCTGTAAACTCCAGGAGTGCAAAACACTTGTAGAATGCAATTTGCTGGATGGAAGAGGGAAGGAGAGACTCTGAATCTCCTTTGGCAAATTAAAGAAGCTTCATTTGCCCCGTTTTGCAGGAGTGTGCAGGGAGATGGTATCCTTCTTCTTCCTTAGTCAGAGGCAGGTTGTAGCTGGTTTAATTGTTTTCCCGGTCAGAGGTTTGTGTTTTCCTGGCAGCTCGCCCCAGTGTATGATGAATGCTGCAGTAATGCTGGGTTTTCCTTGTGCTCCCTGTAGAACTGGATAGGGAGGTGCACGGGAGGGGCGGGGGGAGGGTCTGCTCTGGTCAGAGCTGCAGCAGATAGTTGGGGTCCAGGAGAGTGGTGAGGTGAACTTTATTGTGCCTTGTTTGTTTACTCTGAGCTGTTCTTGGTGTGAGGCGCTTCTCTGTGCACATAGAAACCGTTGTCTTTATTGACAGAAGCCCCAGAGGTAGGTCCTCATGTGACAGCGGTTCCTGGGATCCAGCAGGCCTGTAGCTTGCCCGGTGCCTTCTTGGGCAATGAGATCCCATCTTGGATAATAACCTTTTCAGGGCATGTTCAAAAAAGCACCTGCATGACTCTAAGTTTGCAGCCATTTTTTTTCGTCAGCAATTGTCATAGCTTGCAAAGGTGGCAGTGGTTGTTTCTGCTTTTCTCTAATCTGTTGCTACAGGGTTGAATGAATCCATGGTGTGATTTGTCACTTTTTTTCTTTTTTTGCTCTCTCCCCAGTAGCCCCAAATCAAAGCAGGAGGTGATGGTCCGTCCCCCTACAGTGATGTCCCCATCTGGCAACCCCCAGCTGGATTCCAAATTTTCCAACCAGGGCAAACAAGGGGGCTCCACCAGCCAATCCCAGCCCTCTCCCTGTGATCCCAAAAGTGGGGGTCATCCCCCTAAAGTGCTCCCTGGCCCAGGTGGGAGCATGGGGCTGAAGAATGGGGCTGGAAATGGTGCCAAGGGGAAGGGGAAAAGAGAGAGGAGCATTTCAGCAGACTCCTTTGAACAGAGGGAAGCTGGGACTCCTAATGACGACCCTGAAATCAAAGGTACAGACAGTTATTCCGAGTCCTCTGTGAGATGGAGAATTGCTGTGCAAGTGTTAACAAAATATTTATTTGTCTGGATTCTGTAAGTTGCAGCCAACAAAGTCTAAAGGTCTTGAGAGCAGGCAAAGAGGAGTGGTTGTCATAGCTGGCATTGGTAAATGTCCTGTTCATGCTCAGTTAAAGTGCAGACCTGACTCTGGTGGGAAAGTTCTTTTGTAACTCTGAAACTCCCCCAGAGGATTTGAAAGTACAAATGCAACCTGTTGGTTTCCTTCTGGCCTCTGGCCTTTCAGGAACTGCTCTGTTGTAACAGGGGTTTTGAACAATATGCAAGCCTGTTTTGTCAACATGGATACATAACCCGTAGCACTCTGGCTGGTAACACAAGCCAGAGAGTTGGGATTTCTCTGTTCCCTTCCTGGCTCCAACATTGCCTCTGTGAGGCAGTACAAAACCAGACTAGATGTTCCCATGTCCACCTTTGCTTTGTTGTCCCTTTGCTAGGTCACCTGGCTAAGGTGGCTTGAAGGGAAAAAAAGTCAAGTTTTGCACGGAGTGTTCTCCTTGGACATAGACTTATTTATATTTGTTCATTTTAGTGTTTTGTTTCCCTTCTATTCTGTGTGGCCGTTAGATACTTCAAGGGTGAGGGGCAGCGTGATATTAAAGGGAAGATGCATGGTGTAATAGAAGAATTGTCTTTAGTGGTGCTTGAGGGAAAAGCAGGAAATTTCAGAGTAGGCAAAGTTCTGATTGGTTTCCAGGAATGGTTTCCAGAGAACTCCCAATGTACCGATTCCCCTCTTTTCCTGTTTCTCCCCTTCCAGACTGCAATTCTGCTGATCATGTGAAGTCCCAGGAGTCTCAGCACACACCGCACTCCATGACTCCTTCAAATACTTCAGCCCCAAGGTCTTCCACACCTTCCCACGGCCTGACTGCCACTTTGGAGCCAGCAAGCGGGCAGAAGACTCCATCCAAAGTGGTTTATGTCTTTTCTACTGAGATGGCCAACAAGTAAGTAGGTAGATGCTTGAATGTCTTCAAGGGAGCGGGACTTAGATTTGTGCTCCCTTTTTAAGAGATTCTCAAGTGCACTTTATCCATCAAGTGCATTCTTTTAGCAAAAAATCCTTACTTGTTTGGGGGTAGCTGAAAAGGCTGGAGTGGAGAATGTCACTGCTTCTTGCCTTCTGAGAAGTCATTATTTCTTCCTCTTAGGTTGAATATTGTTTTGCAATCTGTGCAGTGAGTAGCAGCCAGGATGGTTGAAACTGAGACATGAACCCTGAATGCTGATGAGTTTGTAGATCTAAACATATTTCTTTTGCTGCACATCTAGAATGAAATGTGTGGCTGAGTCTTTCTCCCTTCTGCCAGCTGAAGGATAGAAGGGAGGGTAGTTAAGAAAAATTAATTCTTAGCTTCAAATGGATATGTGCATGTGTCTGTGTTTTTGCAGGGCTGCAGAAGCTGTGCTGAAGGGACAGGTGGAAACCATTGTGTCCTTTCATATCCAGAACATCTCAAACAGCAAGGCAGAACGAAACACTCTACCCTTGGTAGGGAATACCTGCGTAAGAGTGGGAAGGGAAGTGGTAAATGTGCTTGTGTGTGTCTGATTGAGAGACGGATGAGTATTTATGCTCTGAAATAAGTTTTAGGGTGGAAAAGAGAGAGACGGTTGTTCTAGCCTTCTAAAAATAACTGCCTTGGATCATCCAAAGAAGAGGCGGAGTCTCACAATGTTTAGGTAGCATATTTCCAACCCGTTACTCATGCAGAGCTAGCACAGAAACAAAAGGGATACCTGCTGCAATGCTTGAGCAAAATAGGCTTCTGTGTGGTCAAGAGGCTGCTCTGTGATCGCTGCATGAAGGCTGCCTTTCCTTGGAGAGTGTGGGCTGGTGGGGTTGAGACGGGACATGTCGTTTGCACCACTGCTTATGTGACATGGCTGTAAGAAGGATGAGTGACAGCACGTGGCTTTCTCTTGCAGAACCCCCAGATTGCTGCACTTCGGCCTGAACCCAAACCCCTGCCACAGCCCCAGTCTGCCGCTGCCCAGGACCAGAACCCTTCCCAGAATGCCAAAATGCAGCCGACTCCACCTGCGTCAGCGCCAGTATCCAAATCCACTGGCCCCCCGTGTCCCATAGATCAGGACAATCCCAGTGTGGAAAGCAAAGTGATGTCTGTGGGCAGCCCTGCCAACTCTACCCCATTGCAGACAGAAGGATTTGGGCAGAGTTCGACCCCAAATAATCGAGCAGTTAGCCCGGTTTCCCAAGGTAGCAATAGCTCTGCTGCAGATCCCAAAGGTCCTCCCCAGCAGGTGTCTGGTGGGGACCCATCCAGTTTGGGCGAGAATCCAGATGGACTGTCACAGGAGCAGCTGGAGCATCGAGAGCGCTCGTTGCAGACCCTGAGAGACATACAGCGCATGCTCTTCCCAGATGAGAAGGAGTTTGCGGGAGGGCAAAGTGGGGGGCCGCCCCCAAGTTCTGGGGTGCTGGATGGTCCCCAAAAGAAACCTGAAGGGCCAATACAGGCCATGATGGCTCAATCCCAAAGTTTAGGCAAAGGGTCAGGGTCTCGGACAGATGGAGGGGCTCCATTTGGCCCTCAAGGACACAGGGACATGCCTTTTTCCCCAGATGAAATGGGGCCACCACCAATGAACTCCCAGTCAGGACCCATAGGTCCAGACCACCTGGACCACATGACTCCTGAGCAGGTGGCCTGGCTCAAGCTGCAGCAGGAGTTTTACGAGGAGAAGAGAAGAAAGCAAGAGCAGGTGGTTGTGCAGCAGTGCTCCCTGCAGGACATGATGGTCCATCAGCATGGACCTCGTGGGGTGGTCCGAGGCCCTCCCCCTCCCTACCAGATGACCCCTGGGGAGGGCTGGGGACCTGCGGGTCCAGAGCCCTTCCCTGAAGGCATGAACATGTCGCACACTCTGCCTCCCAGGGGCATGGCCCCTCATCCCAATGTGCCCGGGAGCCAGATGCGCCTGCCTGGTTTTGCCGGAATGATGAACCCTGACATGGAGGGCCCTAGCGTCTCAAATCCTGCCTCCCGGCCTGGGCTTTCGGGAGTTAGTTGGCCAGATGATGTGCCAAAAATCCCAGATGGCCGAAACTTCCCTCCTGGCCAGGGTGTCTTCAGCGGCCCTGGCCGAGGGGAGCGGTTCCCAAATCCGCAGGGCCTGCCTGAAGAGCTCTATCAGCAGCAGCTGGCTGAGAAGCAAATGGGCCTGCCTCCTGGCCTGAACATGGAAGGCATCAGGCCTGGCATGGAGATAAACAGAATGATGCCCTCCCAGAGACACTTGGAGGCTGGGAGCAACCCCATCTTCCCTCGCATGCCGGTGGAAGGGCCAATGAGCCCTTCCAGAGGGGACTTCCCAAAAGGAATACCCCCACAAATGGCCTCTAGCAGGGAGCTGGAGTTTGGGATGGGCCCCGGCAGCATGAAGGGGGACATGGGCATGAATGTCAGCATGGGCTCCAACCCACCCCTGGTCCCTCAGAAGCTGAGGGAGGCAGGAGTTGGGCCAGAAGAGATGATGAAACTGCGGCCAGGCGTCTCGGAGATGCTGTCCTCCCAGCAGAAAATGGTCCCGCTGCCATTTGGGGAGCACCCGCAGCAGGAGTATGGCATGGGTCCCAGGCCTTTCCTTCCCATGTCTCAGGGCCCAGGAGTTGGTCTCCGAAATCTCAGAGAACAGATTGGGCCTGACCAAAGGACTAACAACCGGCTCAGCCACATGCCGCCACTACCTCTCAATCCCACCAGTAACCCTAATAGCCTCAACACTGCTCCCCCCGCGCAGCGCAGCCTCGGCCGCAAGCCCTTGGATATCTCTGCAGCCAGTCAGGTGCATTCACCAGGAATCAACCCCCTGAAGTCCCCCACGATGCGCCAGGTCCAGTCTCCCATGATGGGGTCTCCCTCGGGGAACCTCAAGTCCCCTCAGACGCCCTCCC